CCTTCCTGCTCCTCTGATGCTGCTTGGCCTGCTGTGTTCATCCAGCTCTACACCTTGTTATCTCAGATTCTCCAGCATCTGCAGTTCCTACTACCTTTGGTACTGGAAGGTGCAGATTCACTAGAATGATACTATGGTCTAGTGGGTTAAATTATGAGGACAGATGGCACAAGTCTATCTTGTAGTCATGAGTTTAGATGGTTGAGGGATGATCTCTTTGAGGTGTTTAAGATGTTAATAGGTTTTATCAGAGTAGTTATTGGAAAAGTGGTTTCCTCTGTCCAGTAACACAGCTACATGGTTCTGAAGTAAAATCACTTCCAACGTGGAACATTAATTCTGTTTCTCTCTCCACAGATGCTGCCAGACCCTCTGGGATTTTCTAACACTTTCTGCTTTTATTATCACAGTCACTTATATGTATATCTCCATGAGATGCCCATTAAAAAATCTTTAATTTACATACAGAAACATCAGAATATAGGAACAGAAGTAGGTCACTGTTTCCTGTCTCTCGGCCAATTTCCTAAGTAGGCCCATAATTTGCTTTGAGTTCCATAAAATTCCATTTTAACAATGCTCCCTCAAAATTAGTAGCTTCAGGAGAAGTGAGTTGGGGATGTAGGGTGGATTACAAGGAGTTGGTGCTATGCAGTTGCAATCTGCTGGCTATTTACACTAGATTTATAGAGGTAGGACAGACAATTGTCCCAATTAAGTAGTGTCCAGGGATGTGCTGGCTAGGTGGATTAGTCTCCGGGATTTGAGATATGGTTTCTAGCCTTGGCCTTAAGACTCTGGGTTCTGCTCCATTGCACTTCCGAAATCTAACTTGATGCCCAGGGATTTTGTGGCTTAACCATTTGTCTGTAGGGTTAAGAAAGGACAGGGCAGGCAACCTTATATGTTGTCAGGATGGGGGGAGTCAGCAAGGAGGAGAGGGAACCGAGTGGGCAGAGCACAACATAGGGCAACAATAAGGATGGCAAGCTGACCTTTGAGGTTCAAATCCTAGGACTGAGGAACCATTCAATCATACCCTGTGGTTTGTCCTTTGATTGTCTGACCCATACTCAGAGGGATCGCGGAGTTAACACTTTTCAGCCTGTGATTCTTTCTAAAGTTACAAACAATACAGATAACATGTGAAAATTCATTTGCAGAATTTTGTCCCATCAACGGAAGCACCAGCTACAAAAGGGCGTGAGAATTCCAGTAGCACCATCAATGTGGTAAATCTTTATGTTTTTAATTTACATACTTCCAGCCATACTGCTTATGAATTTAATCTTGTTTCTATATCACCTTACGCCAGTAAATAAATCATATCAATAAAAAAAAGTGCATAAACAAAAATCTGCCTTGCAATCTCAGATTTTTGTCTGATATTATTCCTTAAATTTACTGGATTTCATTTCTACGGACATAAATTGTGATTGCATTTATCTCTTGAATCTCATGCATTCTTTGTTGAGTCACTTCTTGATTTAAATGCTTTTACAGGTCATTGACTTTTTGAACAGCACACTGGACTGGACACTAGGCTTTCACCAAACGCTCATGATTCTACTGATAGTAGGGAAATGGATACTTCCAATGGGAGTGGGCATCAGCCGAGACCAGCTATCCCAGCTCCTCCTAACGTTTGTGGGAATTGCAGCTGATATCTTAGAGTTTAAGAGTGAAACCTTGTCAGAGAAAGGGGTCAGGTGAGCTTTGTACTCAGTGGAATATATCATCAGTGCGACAGGAGTTACGCATCAATAACTAACTAGTTGTAACGCTGATTTCAGATGCCATCCTGAATTGGTATATGCAATTCTGGCTCTTTGGACATGGAGTATGTTGCAGTTCCCTTTAGACCTTACAGGTAAATATTAATGCTGCTTTCTAGATGGGGAGAAGTTCTTTTCTCACGGAGGGGGGAGGGGTGGGTGTTGTGAGTCTGTGGAACTCGCTTCCCCAAAGGACAGTGGGAGCAAAATCTTTGGCCATTTTTAAGCCAGAGGTACATAAATTCTTGATAAGTTAAGAGAGCGATAGTTATCAGGGATAGGCAGGAGTGTGGTGTAATCAGATCAGCCATGATCTTATTGAGTGGCAGAGCAGACTTGATGGACCAAATGGCCTCTCCTGCTTTTAATTTGTATGTCCGTGTTCCCTCAGAATATTTTGTATTTTAATGTGATTTTCTTCATATATGTTTTCAGTTTTGGAAAATGCTTTCATTTGTTTTTTTTTAATTTCATCTGTGTAATGCTGTCACTACATTTCTGACTTGTACTTTGTACATGGTGGATTAACTTTGGGAAGATAGGAGGTGGGTTACTACGTAGGGTTCCCAGCTTCTGAACTACTCTCATAGCCATAACATTTATATGGCTTGTCCAGTTCAGTTTCTGACCAGCCTTGCTTAAATAGAAGAAAAGTGAGAGTCTGGGTACATAGAACACTGAGTTTTCATCAACAGGTATAGAAAACAACCAGAAAGGCTAATGGAATGCTGGCTTTTATATCTGTAGAACTACATAAAAGGGCATGGGAGTTATGTTTCAACTAAACAAATCACAAGGTATATGGTTAGGATATGGAATTACATCACTGATTAATCGCAATCTAATCGAAGAGTCATGAGGGGCATGGATAAGGTGAATAGCCAAGGTCTCCATCCCAGGGTAGGGGAGTCCAAATCTAGACTGCATAGGTTTAAGGTGACAGGGGAAAGACTTAAAAAGAACCTGAGAGGCAACTTTTTCACACAGAGGGTGGTGTGTGAATGGAATGAGCTGCCAGAGGAGGTAGTGGAAGCTGGTACACTTACAACATTTAAGAGGCATCTGAATGGGTTAACGAATAGGAAGGGTTTAGAGGAGTATGGGCCAAATGCTGGCGCATGGGACTAGATCAGTTTAGGATATCTGATCGACATGGAAGGGATGGACCGAAAAGGTCTATTTCCATGCTGTATAACTCTATGAATGGAACCGGCTTGAGGAACTAACTGGCCCACTACTCTTCCTACGTTCTGTATAGTGTTAATTGATGGAGTGATGTTTGGTAGCGACTTGCATTTTTTTTGTGGTATTAATTAATGGAATGATGTGTGACAGAGACTTGCTTTGTTGGTGTTTGAGATGTGATGGGCCTTATTGTATGCTATGTGGTTGAAGATACTGTACCAACTGAGAAGGTGCCCTGTTTGAAACTCTTGTCAGACTCAATGAATAGAGACCAGTGCTCTGGCTTAACATACAGTGAAATTCTTGTGTAGAGAAGGTATTGATGACCTTCCCTTTATTGTGTGGGTTTCTGAGCCAATAAAGCTTGTTGCGCATATGGGACTACACACCCCACATATGGGCATGGGAGGAGAGTTCACATTGTGGCCTATCAGACTTAAACAGCCTGCAAATTCTTCCATTACCTTTAACTGTTCCCCATGAGTGAGAAGATACACAATAACAACTGGAAAAGCATGTTAATGTTAAAACAGTTGTACAATTGCTGTTTGTTCATCAAATTGCAGTGCTTCAGAAAACAGAAGAATCATATCCGCAGGAAGACAGGCCAAAAAAGAAAGATCACTTGCACAAATACAGCGCGGACCTCTGGAATATTACCATAAGTATATTGATACAAGACGGACCCTTCTTCACCTTTCGATTGTTCTTGATGTTCCACCAAGGGATTGTTCACCAGATGCTGGTGTTCTTCACAATCAAGAATGCTCTTGTACTGACCCTACAGATTTACCGGTTGACCTTGATATATTTAGAAATGCGGCAATCAAATGAGAGGCAGCAACTGACACCCCCTGAGGACAATGTTCCCACATATAACACCGAGATGGGTGACATTGCTGAGTAGCTGTACCTCTTCTTGCAGAAGAGGATTGGAATGGGGTGACATTTGATTCACTCCCTCAATACTGCCCTGGGAGTGTCAGTGGAGATTTTGTGGTCAGATCTTAACAATGAGATTTGAACTCAGAATCTCCTAACTTCAGTTGGGAATTATGATGCGAATGTATTAACACATATATAGTATGTACCTGATTTCTTTTATTAAAGAGTCATACACCATAGAAACAGACCCTTTGATCCAACCAGTCCATGCTGACCATAATCCCAAACTAAACTAGTCCCACCTCTGTGCTCCTGGCCCATATCCCTCCATTTACTGTACCTGTTCCTATTCATGTACCTTTCCAAATGTCTTTTGTACCTTTATACTTTTATACCTTCCATATCCAGCAACATATAGGGGAGATGATGGCCTAGTGGTATTATCACTGGACTGTTAATCCAGAGACCCAGATAATGTTCTGGGGACCTGGTTTCGAATCCCGTCACACCACATGGTGGAATTTGAATTCAATAAATATCTGGAATTAAGAATCTAATGATGATCATGAAAGCATTGCCGATTGTCAGGAAAAACCCATCTGATTCACTAATGTCCTTTAGGGAAGGAAACTGCCCTCCTTACCTGGTCTGGCCAAATGTGACTGCAGACCCACAGCAATGTGGTTGACTCTTAACTGCCCTCTGGGCAATTAGGGATGGGCAGTAAATGCTGGCCTGGCCAGCGACGCCCTCATCCCGTGAATGAATAAAGGAAAAAAAACATCCTGGTAAATCTGTTCTGAGCCGTCTCCAGCTAAATAATATCCTTCCTATAACTAAGTGACCAGAACTGGACACAGTACTCCGGAAGAGGCCTCACCAATGTCCTGTACAACCTTAACATGACTTCCCAGATCCTATACTCAAAGGACTGAACAATGAAGGCAAGAATGCTAAACACCTTCTATGTGTCTATGTGTAATACAAACTTCAAAGAATTATGTACCTGAACCCCTAGATCCCTCTGTTCTACAACACTACTCAGGGCCCTACCATGAGAAAATGCGTTCTGGAATACCCCATCCTCAAGATTTTTAATTAGATTCATTATTTCTTGGTCAGGGCTCAGCGACAGAAAAAAAACCCAAAACTATAATTGTATGTGCGCAATGAACGGACAGGATGCTCAGAAAAGAAGGACAAACTTGTACTGCTGCTAGCCAGAATAAATGTTACATTCTGTACTTTCTCACACTATGCTACTCCAAAGCACTGATTAGATCGAGACAATTCTGTCATTAAATAATAGAATGTGCTGTACATTTTGTGAATGTTGTAAAACATACAGTATCTCTTCTGAGCCAAGACAGCATGCATTCTGAAGAGAACAAACAAAATTTTTGAAGTGATGCTTCAATTTATTTTTTGGTAACAAATGGCTATTCGAGAAACAGCGGTGGAGCAGGAACTCCCAATTGAGTCCCTTTCTCACATCAGTGAGCTGCTGATCTCAGCCAAACTGAAATGTGAGGCTGTGAGTGAAATCTAAGGGACAGTGGCTCTTGTTGGGATTAATTGGCTTTATGGGAATTCTATGCTGTTAGAGTTACTCAAATAATAGAGGGGGAAAACCATCTGGTTGTCGAGCCTGCCTTACACTATGAAGTCTGCAAAATCTAGACTTGATGCTTTCTACTCCTCCAACCCTCATGCCTCATAACCTGCCACCACCACCAACACCAACTCTGACACCAACATCTCATAATCTCCTGGGAAAGTAAAAGAAACAAAATAAAAAGGAATCCAGGGTTAATAGGTGAAAAATGTACTCTGGAAAGTTCCTCACTGATCCCCACAGGGGAATGAAACCAGTCCAGGAGAGCATAATCAAACGTCTCGTCTGCCAATGTTCAATACTTCAGGAGCCAGAAGGTGAGAATTAAAATTATATTCAGTTAACAGTTAATCAGTATTTTGCTTTATCACACTTAGCATGCTAAATAGGATCACACTCAAATGAAAACATGTTTCTTCAGTTCCTCTTGTGGTATTCTTCACACATGCAGATGAACAAAACTAAGAATTCAAACCTTCCTGTGGGATATAGGCATTACTGACAAGGCTGGTATTTACGCACTCACACCTAGTTGCCCTAAAAGATAGTGGCAAGGTTTCCTTTGAGTCACCATGGTTCACATTTGCAATGGTTAGAAGCAACTGAGTGACTAGCACACATTCCAGAGCAGGTAAGGATGGAGAAGACGATGGTTCACTTAAGTTTACAATTGGTGGAACACAGAAGGATGGCCAGGAGATGAATGTAATGACCAGGTCTGGAGGTCACAAAATGTTACATTTCTAGATGATAGAAGTATCTTTTCTGATTGGTAGACATTATGGGTGTGCAGAACGAACAGCACTGAATGTTGAGACAGATAATTGCACAGAAAGTTTAAACTTCCAATGAGCGGCTTGGAACTGCCTGGCTGTCCCTAAGAATGTCTCGGGTACTGACCTCTTCACCAGAGACTTGGACCCTCCGTCCAATACTTAGCTGAAAACTTAAGCTTGTACAGTCCCACTGTAAATTTCTGTCATAGTTTGCTAACCCTACTAAAGGGCTTTGAAAGCTAAGCAGAGCATAGTGTTGTGACTGAGAAGGTGACCTCTCAGCTGCATTTTCTTGCCATGACAGTCTGTTCGTGGCAATTTTGGGCATTGCTGGCACAGGAAGACCCATCGAGGAAGCCAGAAACAGATAGAGCTGCAGTCATTTTCACAGTCAGCGGTGATCACCCCAGTATCGTTGCGTGAGCTGCCACCTGTATCTTGTAAGTGTGTGGATTTTTTTTTAGGGGCTTCAGTGGCCTAGTATACAGGAGGGTAGCCAATCTCTGATCTAACAAGAAGAATCTAGTGGCATAAACAAGATACAGTTTATTGCATTTTTGCAACTGTTTACAGGTTATCAGATTATACTCGATATTGCTTCAAAGACTCCAGGCCTGTTTCACATGAGATCCTACTTCAGTCTCCCATGAAGTCCTCATGATATTATCACAATGTCTGGTGCTTATTATCTGCACTAAAATATTAACCCTTTCAATCCCTTCCAAACACACACACAACGCTGACCAGAAGACCTAGCCTTAGGGATGCCAAAGCATTTCAAATGTCTTCTGTACGCGGCATTATCTTTACAGCCTCTACAATTAAATGAAATTTTCAGAGCAATATTATTGTCGGCTCATGCATGTGGCCTGACAGTGCAAATATGTTTGTCACCCTGATAATGTGCTTATTGTCAGTCCTCAGAACAAATTATTTTTCTTCACTGTTGCTTTAAAACAAATTCAACTAAATTTGTCCCGTTTGGTTTCACTTTTGTTCCTAATGAGCTATTTAAGGATTTGTCCCCAACTTCTCAATGGCTTCAAATAATGTCCCCAACATGTAGAACCTCACAACGGACAAGACAGTTCAAACTGTAAAGTATTCACTGCAGTTTCATGATGAACAAAGGAAGATTTGTGAGACTCAATTCTTCAGAACATTTCAGTCTCCAAAAACTGTTTCTTGAAACTGTGTGCCATCATTGAGTCCCCAGTTCTATGTCTTGATCAATATTTTTGCTTCCTTGTTATTTTCAGTCTTAATGCTGTCTCATACTAAACGCCTTGGTGCTTCACGTAGATATCTGGTAAAACTACAGCTAAAGGCTCATTGTGTAGTGTAGTGGTTATGTAACTGGACTGGTAATTTACTCCTTTGTGAGTACAAATCCTGCTGCGATTCTTTGAAAATTTCAATCGTGTTAAAATAAGAATAACCATGAAGCTGGAGCATTGGTCAAAGACCAGCTTATCACTAAAGGAAGTAAACTTAGCATAACAACTTACAGCACACACCAAGGCTCTCTTGTGCAGTCACAATGTTTAATGTAGGAAATATGACAGCGAATGTGTCCATAGCAAGGTCCCACAAAGAGAAATGACAAGAATGAAGTTATCTGTTTTCATGATGTTTGTTTTGATGAATATTCGCAAAAACATTGGGAGAATTAATAGCTCTTTGAAAGACTTATTAAGACCCACATCATGCCTACTCTTTCCTCATAATCCTGCCAATGGTTTCTATTATTTCTCCAATTCCCTTTTCAAAGTAGCTATTGAGTTTTGAGGAAGGGTCTAAGGAAGGGTCACCGGGCCCAAAACGTTAACTCTGTTTTCTCCTTCATAGATGCTGCCAGACCTGCTGAGCTTTTCCAGCAACTTTGTTTTTGTTCCTGATTTACAGCATCCGCAGTTCTTTTAGTTTTTACTATCGAGTTTTGTTTCATTACCCATTTTGGTAGTACATTCTGAGTCATAACAAGTTTCTGTGTAACAACGTTTTGCTTGATTTTCCCTGATGCCAGTGGAAATAGTTCCTCTTTCCGTACTGTTATCAAAACCCTTCAAAACTTCTGAACAGCTCCCTTAATCTTAAAGAGAACAAATCCCATTTTCTCTAATCTCTCCGAAAAGTCCTTCATCACTGGTAAGAATCATAGCCCCAGGACATCAATGCAGGAGTTCCTCAGGATAGTGCCCTATTAAATATATTACCAATTTGAATATAGATGTCGGGGCATGATGGAGAAGCTTGTAGATGATGCAGAAAGTTGACCATGTTGTTGATAGTGGGGAGGATTTGTAAACTGCAGGATTATATCAATGGATTGATCACATGGGAAGAAAAATGGCAGATGTATAAGGAGGTTAAACAAGGCAAAAGAATAAACAAGTAGTGGGAGGTGCAAAGGAAGTGAGGGACCTTAGAATTCATCTTCACAGGTCCCTGAAGATATTATGACAGGTCGGCATGGTGGCTTAGTGGTTAGCACTGCTGCCTCACAGCGCAAGGACCCAGGTTTGATTTCAGCTGCAGGTGACTGTCTATGTGGCGTTTGCACATTCTCCCTGTATCTGGGGTGAGTTTCCTCTGGATGCACCAGTTTCCTCCCACAGTCCAACAATGTGCAGGTTCAGGGAATTGGCCATGCTAAATTGCCCACAGTGTCCAGGGATGTGTGGATTAGGTAGACTAGTCATGGGAAATGCAGGGTTACAGGGGAACGGAGTTGGTCTGTGCGGGATGCTCTTTGGTGTGACCTCGATGGGCCAAAAGGCCTGCTTCCTCACTGTAGGGATTCTAAGTCAATTAGGTGATTAACAAGGCATATGATTTTTTTACCTTTATTAGCTGAGGTATAGAGTATGAGAAGGGAGGTGATCTTGGAACTGCATAAATCATCAGTTAGGCCA